CATTACTTCATCTGAAAACAAAACAATATCTAGCTTACAGGGATATTGTGTAAATTAAGCAAGATAAACTATGAAAAACATTTAGTCTGTGCATTCTAAGCACTGGATAAATGGTAGTGAATATGTGAATAACAACGATAACTATGGAAAACCATAACAACCTATACTTTTGAACAATATGTTCACAATAGTGATCTAGAAGCAACTTTGCATAGAAACTAGAGTCTCTCAGGCCAAAGTTCTTTTCTGTACACTATACTTTCTGTCAATAATTGTTCGCCATTCTTTAGGGTATTTTTTTTTTTTACTGGGGGTGGGCAGACTGTGTTTTAAAATCAATTTATTTGTATTGAATTGCACTAATTCATTACGTAATATTTCAGAGAGCAGAACTATAGATAAAACATAGATGAAACTCATGAGAAGGCTGATTTGGAGTCAATAAAATAGATCTTTCCATAGCTATCACAGGCTGCATTGCCTTAAAAATGTAGTATATTCCATGTCACTATAAGTGTCCATGAGCAAGTTACATTTCTTCTGTCAGGACTACTGATGCATGAGCTTACATAATTGGGCCAGATGATTTTTATGTCTTTTCCTAATATGTGGTACTTATTCTGTTTTCTCAATAATCCTCTACATTTTAAAGGCTTATTCAAAAACCGAAATCTTAAAGTATAATCCATGCATGTAGAAATTTCACTGACATTTTCATCTTTAGACTGGTACAGATGTATTATAGAAACAACATAGGATATGAAAATTTTTGAATTGGCCTTTTCACCTTTGATTTAGATCAATACTCAGAATAGTCAATTGTTTTATGTGTTAACTATCTGTTCATATGGCTGGGGAAAAAACTCAATATGCTGGTGACAAAAATCTATTTATTCATTTATTAATTCATTTATCCAATGAATATTCATGAAACATTTATCAAACCTTCCTATAAACTAAGCATTGTGCTGTGTAGTATAAGGTTGTATTTTACAGAAACAGCTACAATCAATACTTTGACACCAAAGAAATAATGAAGAGTCTTAAATATTTTAGGGTTTTTAGTTTTCTGTATTTTATGTATTAGAGACCCATTTTACCTATCTATTTACCTAATCATTTAATATTTATTACAATGTTACATATTCATTCAAGGCTTTTTCTTACTAAAAATTACAACATATATGTACATTTGGAATACACAATATGARTTCTCAGGACACAATTCAGAGACATGATTAATAAAAACAAAACGTTTTGATCCATTTCCTATCAATATAATGTGAACAGAGATCATGGGATTATTTTATGTGAAGTCCAAAACATTTCTAGTACTCCTAGTTAAAAAGAGCACCTCTCTGTTTTGTTATGTTAATTTAGTTTTAATTAGGTTTGACAGGTTGATTTCTCTCCCAWCTTTTTAATTTAAACTTGAACTGAATATTAATTTATGCAATATAATTTTATTTTAAATATTATTTTATCATTCTTAAAAACATAAATAGAATATCAAGAAAAGCAATTTAGTTATTTTGGGAAATTTTTAGACTGATTTGGAATGGAAGAATATAGTTAATAAAAGCCATCTTTGATGTTATTTAACACAAAAGCAAACATAGATCTTTTTATATTTGACATTAAAAATCTGATCATTTGCCTCCCTAAAGAAAGCACATACAGTTTTTATACAGACTGCACAGTAAAGAATAATAATATTTCTGTTTACTGAGATATCAACTGGCATTTCACTGTAAGTCAATGGTCTATCGTTGCTACAGCGTATTAGACCTCAATCTGGCATCTACAAATGTCAAGAGTATAAAAAAAATATAGGATGAAAATCAAAAGCATGTTCTGAACTCCCACAAAAAAAAAAAGGGAAACAAAGTTCACCTAAACGTATTTGCTGCAGAAATCAGTGCAATATTCAGCTGTCAATCTAGAAAAACAAGGGAGCCACACTGTCAGTAGGACAGGATAATAAAATTTCCAGCAGATGTTCAGGCAGGGCTCTAATTTTTTACTGAACTCCCTTGGTAAGCATTTAATTTCTTTATCATATGCAGCCTCGGCAAATTGTACTTCATCAAAACTGTATTGTGAAATATTAATATTTCATATGATAACAAAACTCTATAGACTAACCTTTGTCATATGAAAAGCATCCAAATTTCAAATGTCAAGATTCTGAATTTTAATACATTTTAAATAGATTCTTGAATTGGCATAATAAATTATAATAAGACTAATCTCAATTGGTATGCTATAATGTTACACAAATGTATAGTACATATAATGCTTTAATAGATGTCTTTGGTAAAAGTCTGCAGAAAAAAAACAAATAAAATGGTGTATGCTACAACATTTCATCAGTAAGAAATCCATAATACATAATTATATATGTGTAACATTTAATCACTAATTAGGGACAATATAAAAAAAAACAAATACAGTTCTTTATCAGGAAAATGGGATATTCTGCATACTTATGTATAGGAAGTGATCTTTTTTGAAAATGACATTATATAAATGCAAGGTAGCTTCGTTATTTTTGTCATTTAAAATCAGCAAAATGTGTTTAAAATAGTCTTTTCACATTTTTTTTTATATTCACTAGCAAAAGAAGTAAAGTAGGAAGTCTGAAAAGCCCCCCTTCGTTATGTTTCATGTGCCAAATTTAATTTGCATTTGTTCATAACTCCCCTTTTGAACCAGCATCACAGACTTCTGAATTGGTAGATTAAATTTAAATTGGAGGTTTAGGAGAAAGTTAGCTTCCACATTTATTTCTGCTGGTGATCCTAATAAAGGCAAGTGCTCCTGGGTTACTGAAAGACACAGCATCACAAATCAATGCATGTCACCAACAGAGGAAAGACTGATGTTTCTGATTAATCAGAACTCAATTTCTGCAAGCAAAGAAAATCCAAAGCAAATTCCTTTTTGCCTAATTCTTCACTTATACCTGTTTAAACCACCTATCTCAGTTTTCACATATGTATTATAAAATAGCATAACAGGTATAGTCATTCAATGCTATCTGAGACTGTTTTCCTCAACAGATTGAACATTTGATTACAGTTCTCCAGTAACTCTTAAAGGATGGGTTGAAAAAAAGACAAATATGCTATTAATATTCTACAAGATTGTAAATAATTTATTCATGATATTCTAAAGTGGAATCCAGTTTATTCTGTTCATTTTTACACTTTGTTTAATAAAAGGCTTTCTAAAGAGTCAGTTGATTTATTTGAATAAAACCCTCTTTGTATTTAAATATAAAAATCTTTAAGAAATATGTTTTCTCAGCACTGATTTTTCTAAGTTTTGAAGATTCTATGGATTTTCTTGACCACACTTATACATAGCATCTTGTAAAGCTGTCAGAGGAAGACAGCTGTAATGTTTTACCCATAATAATGCTAGCTATTGATCCTAGTAAGAGAAGAAAGAGGGAGAGAATGTGCTTAATGGGGCATGTTTGTTCTCTATTATTTTCTTTGCCTAAGGATAAGGCTGGTTTAAATAATGATACTCTTTTCTTAGTTGCTAGATTCACACATTCTTATACATTAATTATAACTAAGTACCAGTTAGTACTAAATACATTGAGTGGCTTAGCAACTAAAATTTTTATCAATAAATGGCCTAAGAAATGTTAAATTCTGCTGTTGTCTTTTTAAAGCTGTCTATGGATATCACATTCCACTGCATAAATGGTCCTACTCTGAAAAAAATGCATATATATGGTTTGTGTACTTCAGATAACCAATCTCAACTTTAATACTAAGTATGTCCACTTGTGGTCTGGGTAGACTGATAATATCTCATGAAACTCAGGGTATCTGTTTATTTGAAAAACTTACTATATTCAAAATCATGAAGAATCTTATTACAAACACCAACAAATATAGTGAGGGATTCTTTATACATTATCTGGACCCCAGAATTTTGTATAAACCAAGTTCATGGTCTCCTTAACTTCAAGTTGAAGCATATGTACACACATCTAGAAATCACAAAACAATAATGTCACAAAACAATAATGTCAAAAAACAATTAAAAATAGAACTAACATATAATCCAGTAATCCTAGTATTTGTTATATATCTAAAACAAATAAAATCAATATGTCCAAAACATCGGCACTTCCATGTTCATTGAAGCACTATTCGCAGCAATCAAGAAATGGGAACAACCTAAGTCCATTGGTAGTATGTAAAATGGAATATACTGTTCATCCATAAAATGAAGGATAGCCTATCATTTTCATCCATGCAATGATATGGGTGGTACTAGAGATTATTACATTAAGTGAAATAAGCTAGATATAAGCAAACATGTATTTCATGATTTCACTCAAATGTTAAAAAAGTTTATCTCATAGAGACTGGGGGTAGAATGGTGGTTACCAGAGGCTGAAGAGTGTCGGAGAAAAGGAGAAAGGATGGGGAGGGTTGATTAACGGATACTAAGCCACAGTTAGATAGAAGTTCTGGAGTATTACATTGCATAGTAGGATGACCATAGAAAACAATAATGTACTGTATATTTGAAAAAAAGAAGAAAGAAATTCGATTATTTTAACCATTAAGAAACCATAAATGTTCGAAGAGATAGATATATTTAGCCTGATTTAAACATTACACAACATATACATATATCAAAACATTACATAGTATTCTATTAATATGTATAATTTTCATGTGTTTCAATAAAGAAAAAATGAAGAGTGTATGGTTAAGTGAAAAGTCACTTTTATAATATTTATACTTTTGATGCTTCCTATACAATACAAAATGAGAAATATATGCGATACCCCTGCTTCCACAGAATAGATGGGCTGAAAGGAAGTTAAAGCCTATTGTGTTATGACAATATATAGTTAATAGTTTAATAATTATTATATCTTGGTCATTATACTCACATTATATATTACTTATGCCTTAATTAAAGTACATACTATACATTTAGGCATGACTTCAAAAATATATTCTTACCTTATCAAGAGAGAAAGTTTTGGTCAAGGCAAAAGCCCATCCAGCTTCAAAAGCTCTTCGGATCATTGATGAGTTAGTAGCTGGGGTTGCACTAGCAAGACCAAAAGGATTTATAAACTTCAATCCAGCCATTTCCACACTAATGTCCACCAGATCAATAGGAGTGTAAAAGAGGGGTAGTTCGGGCTTGGCAGAAACTGAAGCTCCATATTGTGACTGCAAAAAACAAAGAGTCAATAATTGCTATATCACATCTGAATTATCTATATAATTGTTTTATAAAAATCACTTCAACACAGCATTTGAATTCATATAGATTACATCAGTCTGTTTACAATGATGAAAACTGGCTACAAGTCAGTTAGCAGTGAACCAAATTCATATGTAATTATCATTCTTTTCTAATCTAAAAGGCAGTATAGAGAGTATTAACAAATAAAAATCAATTAAACAAACACACAACTCTATTTAAAACATACTGAGTTTCAAACACAAAAGGGAATAATTTTAGAATTTATCTCCCTGGTTCCATTAACCCAGCTTCTTTGTACTTAATTTATGAAAATGTCTTAGTGCTCAGAGATATGGGCAACAGAAAGTCAGAGGCCTAAATTCAATTTCCAGTAATCTCACTACTGCTTMTGTGATTTTAGGAAGCTACCTAACATGTCCTTGTGTTTTTTCCTCCATAGTTTTCAGTAAAGCAGTAGGAATGCCAGCTGCCTAATTTCCTGCCCCATGGGGATATTGGAAAATGCAGGAAATGATAAGCTAGAGGGAGACATCTAATTGGGAAAGTGGATAATGTACTCACGTGCATTAGGGGAGTATTTTTTTTTTTCAGAAACTAAACAGGTAACAAACAATTTATGTCAAAATCTTAAGTTGGCACTAAAACCTGCATAYTAACTTTTGTTAAAGGATCATGTAATAAGGCTACCTTGCAGTATAACTGTAACTGACATAAATACATATGTATATGGTACACTGAAGCATAGTAGAAGTTTCCTAAATGTCCTTTCCTCCCTTTCTCCTCTTCCTCGTTTTCTGCCCTTCCYTTCCTTCCCCCCCTTACTTTTTTTCTCTGTTTATCTCTAAAAGACAAATAATACTGGAAAATACAAAAAAAAAAAAAGGATGAATTTTCTCAGCCAAAGTATTTACTGAATGGATAGGGCTAGTTAATTCAAAAGTAGAACTTCTTTCTCTTGTGAATCATCACTCAAAAGAAAAGTTATTTGAGCAGAACTTTAATTTTATAGGAGTGTGTCTTGTGTAGATAAAGATTTCCATGACTTGCATAGAAATTACTTCTAGGCCTTCACCATTTATAATGCAAAGTAAAGTTCACTTAATATGTAAAAACGCATCCAACTTGCCAATTGAAAGACTATTATGTTTCCAGTCTTGCAAAAAAGATGCTTCATGGTATCCAGCCTTCAACTATGGCAGACACGTACAGCCAGGGATATGCTGGGTTTCCAGGATATTATTCTTTCTTTATTCCCCTCACCATTTTTTTTTTTGTGTGTGTGTGTATACGTGTGTCTCTAGGGATGGAACCCAGGACCTCCCACATGCAAAAGCACTCTATCACTGAGGTACATCCCCAGACCTACAAGGCACATTTCTGAGTATTTGATAGTCAATATGTGAACATAATTTCTCCTGCCCTCACAAAGAATTGCAATACCATTAAAAGGAATATGAAAAAGAAAATAACTAGAATGTATAATATAGGGAATTGGAGATTGGAAATTTATGAGGTGAGTATATGTGCATGCTTGTGTCGATGTAGGTATGTATAAAATGGACATGGGAGACAACCACTTTTGGTTGATATTTGCTTGTTTTGGGTACTGGGGATTGAACCAGTCCTTTTTACTTTTTGAGTTTGGGATAAAGTCTAAGTTTCTAAGGGCCTAAGTTGCTGAGGCTGGCATCAAACTTATAATCCTCCTGCCTCAGGCTCCCTTCACTGGGATTACAGGCATGTACCACCACATCTAGCTAGAAAATCACTCATGATAGTATTTTCTTAGCTCTGTGTTACCATTATTTAAATTGAATCAAGCAAGTTTTAGGCTACACTAATGAGTAATTTCCTGACGTGAGAGGAAGAGATTAGAAAACACTGGGAAAATTTTAGAAACAATTTCCTTATGTTCAGAATCTCAGAAACAGAAACAACCCTGGGAACCTCTGTGTCTAATATCCATAGCAGAGATACATGTGGTCCTGCATACTTTATTAGATAAAATGAATGAAGCTACAAGTTTTCTTCTCTTTTTTTATGGCTCTTTACTGAAATATGTAACCTCTTTAATCTTATAGATGAATTTAGTTTGTTTCAAGTAGTAGCTATATATGGCACTAGGCAACAACAAATAGGTAGGTATATGTCTGGCTCAATTTGCATTGGCTAATTTGTGTAGTTTTGAATAAATAGATCATTGTCACAAAATCCGTAAGATTATAACCTTAATAACTAGAAAAAAATAATTTGGACAAGATTTTGCAAGATTTCTCTTAGGTTTGAAACAAAACAAAATGCAATATACCAAATCACACAAGTAACAAAATGTAAACTTACACATATACACAGACTCTTTCACATGAGAAGTACATTTCTCATAAAATACACATTTTATTTATAAAATTGCTACTGCTGTGCATTTGTATATGATATAACCTAAAACTCTGCTGTAACAGGTCTGCATGTAATTTTGGCTTCTTGATTCTTTGTTGCAATGCAATGCTGCTCCCCTTTGTCCTCTGGCTTAGGGAACTCAGAGTCTCAATTTCTGGTCTCACCACAAGCCAATTCTTCCCAAATCCCAAATGCAAACTCCAATTTGGGATTTCTTAGAAAATTCAAACCTTCAAAGGTGGACATTTGGCCCTACTTCCAATTCAACTGTTAAAATGTATCTGTGTATTCCTTCCTAAAAAATGTGCATACAGATTTTCAATTTCAGACAATACCATCTTTCTAGTCACCCAATACTGTTAATAAATCACATATATTTTAAAAAAACAAACAAACCAGATATCAACCAATAGAGACTAGTTCCATGACAGTTTACCCTACAAGGGAATGCTTGCTAGCATCAGAAACAACAAGAGGAAATGAATGTATTGGCCTGAGAGTTTTGTTATGTACTCAGACAAGTATGAGGTGATACTATATATAAATGTTCAGGTTTCAGTAAATATATACGTGTAAATATCTCTCTTTATTCTCTCAAGTAATATAATGAGCAGAATTATCTCTCAGAATAAAAGTTTAGATGACTTATGATTTTAGAATTTTGCTTACTGTATTTTTAATGTTTTCAGTAATGGACCCAATTGTTTTAGTCAGTTTTTTAATAGCTGTGACTAAATGATCTAACCAGAACAATTTTAAGGAGGAAAAGTTTATTTGTGAGATTCAGAGGTGTTAGTCYAGAGAAGGCTGGCTTCATTCCACAGGGCTCAAGGTGAGGCTAAACATCATGGCGGAAGAGTATAGCAGAGGGAAGCAGCTCACATGGTGGTCAGGAAGCAAAGAGAGAGACTCCAGATTCAAAATATATACCCCATAGCTATGCCCCCAATTCCTACCTCCTCCAGCTACAACCTACCACTTCAATTAACACAGTTAATCCCTATCAGGGAATTAATTCAAATATGTGTGAACACCTTTATTCACATTAATTAAGATTCTCACAATCCTAATATTTTTCCTCTGAACCTTCTTGCATTGTCTCACATGTGGGCTTTGGGGGGTACACCTCACATCCAAACCATAACAATTTACATGAGATATTAAAAAGAAGATTAAAACAATTTTTTAAAACTTTTGCATTATTAATTGACAATTTATAATCACATACATTTATGGGGTACAAAGTAATGTTATAGTTTATGAATATGATGTGGAATAATTAAATCAAGTTAGGGACATGCTCATTACCTCAAATACTTAACAATTTTTTTGTGATAAGAGCATTTGAAATTTATTATTAGCAATTCTCAAATACAAAATACTCTTAATTATCTTCAACATGCTAGTACAATATATTTCAAAAATACTTCTCCTGTTTGAGATCTGGCACCCATTGACCACCACTTGCCCCTTTTTCCATCCCCTAACTTCTGTTAACTACCATTCTACTCTCTTTTCTGAGTTCAGTTGTTCTGGGTTCCACACATGAGAACATGTAGTATCTTTTTCTCTGTGCCTGGCTTACTTCACTCCACACAAWGCTGTCCAGTTTAACCTAAGTTTTCACAAATGACAGAATTTCTTATTTTGTTTTTTTTAAAAAAAGATTCCAATATGTATGCACACCTTTATTCATTAATCAGTTGAGGGACAGTTAGGTTGATTATATAACTTGCCTATAGTGAATGGAACTTCTATGCACATTAGAGTWCAGGCACCTCTTTGACATACTGATTTCAATTATTGGGAGTAAATACCTAGGAGTAGAATGGGTAGATCAATAGAAATTCTATTTTTTTAAAGGAACCTCCCTCCATACAATTTTCCACAAGATGTGCTAATTTACATTTCCACCAACAATGTGCAGTGATCCCCTTTTCTCCATAGCCTTAGCAATACTTCTTATCTTTCATGTTTTTGATAATAGCCAGTTTATAGGAATGAGATGACATCTCATTACAGTTCTAATTGCATTTCTCTAGTGATTAGGAATAGTAATCCTTTTWTATATATATATACATACATTGGCCATTTGTATGTCCCCTTTGAGAAATGTCTATTTAGTTCCTTTGTTTATTTTTAAATTATTTTTTCTTGCTCTTATATATTTTGAATATYAACCCCTTACTCAATATATAAGTTGGATATATTTTCTCTCAATCCATAGATAAACTTTGAAAACCACTGTTTTCTTTGCAGCACTTCTTGCACTTTTTATTTTGGCATAATCTCATTTGTCTATTTTTGTTTTTCTCAAATGTGCTTTTCAGGTCAAATTCAGAATATCTTTGCCCAGATGAATGGCATGTGGTTTCCCTCTGTTTTCTTCCAGTACTTTTTTAAGGTTTTTAGTCCCACATTTAAGTCTTCAGTCCATTTTGAATGGATTTTTGTGTACAGTGTGAGGTAGTATCCCTTTCTATTCTTCTGCATGTGGATATACAGTTTCTCTAAAATCATGTATTGAAGTGACTCTCCTTTCCCAAATGCATATTTCTTGAAAAAT